TTCGTTTGTGGAGTGTGGTATCTGGTAATCAAATAACTGCGCCATGGAATGGCATCCTTGTGTCAGCATCAGTTGCTTTCTCCGGTGATGGAAGGCGTGTCGTCTCCTGTCATTTATTCGGACAACATGTTTGTGTGTGGGACGCGACTTCAGGTATCGAGATTCTTCGTCTCTCAGTGAAACGTCGGGAATCATTGAGGTCGGCGGCGTTATCCTTTGATGGGCACTACATCTTTGCTGCCCGCTGGCGAACCAACTATTTACTGGAGCACCTTGCCTGCAATCGAGGCGTAAGAGTTTGGGATAGTGCCGGTGCTTGCATCATCGTGAATGGAGATTGTCTCCATGAAGTTAGTGGTATCGATGATCCAATCATCGTCACTCCTGACTTATGGATCGTGGAGACCGCCACCCAGAGAGTCATCGGGAAGCTCCCAGCCGCGGTGTCAATTAAGAAATGTGTGGCATCACAAATCAATTGCTTTCACGACTACAGACAAGCCATCTACCATATTCATTATGCACTTCCCGTCGACGAGCCTCACAAACCCCAGAACTTTGGATCTGTCCGATTACGATGAAGATGCCGTCAGCTCAGACTCGGACTTTTTTTGGGACAGTGATGGTACGGATACTGATGACGACGCATAAGCAGTTATTCAACCGCATAGCTTTCTGTCACTTTAGTATGTTTCTTGTTCTGTTCTTCTGCCGTGTGTCTCTGTCACGATTCGGTGAATGCCTCACTTAGTCTTGACCCTTTATACTGTAATTTCCGTCATTTTTTAAAAGAAATCCAGTTAGTTACTGTGAGTAAGTGCATGTTATCGCAATGTATTTTTTTGTCGAGCCTAGCGAATAGGTACATAATCACCAAAGCGATGAAATTCTGCAGTCTGTTTGCTCGATTTATCGCAACGTCAATGGACGATGCAGACAAAGTACTAGCAAAGAGAAAGGGAAATCCCCGACGACGCAAGCATAAAGTGCAAGAGCAAGGTCATCATATCCTTGTGATGCGAGCAGAGAACAAGAAAGAGGATGGCAAAAATAAGTTAACCATGAATGGAGGGCGTACCCTCATATTAGCGGTTAAGCTAATGAGAACAGATACTACACATTGATCTTAGCCTATGAGGCCAGAGTGGTGGGAATTTTGAAAGATAGAGAGGACCTTATATAGTGCCAGCAGTGCGCACGGACCCAGAACATATGTTTGTTTCAGTTGGGATTAGCAGGTTGGACGAGTCAAAGATGAAGTCAGCCTTAGTCAAGCCCAAAAGCGGAACCGGAGTCAGTGTCAATTGAATTCTCACGCCCTCTTCGCTTCCCTTTCGTCGATGCCCGACCGATGTCAGTTCAGACTTTACTCTATACCCTCAAGTTCAGGTTTAAATGACTGCAATATCAGCGCAATCTCAATATGCAGCAGCGTCTCGTGTCCCGCTGATCAAGTCGCCTAGTCTCCGGGTCCCGCGACCAGTACGTTACGAAGCGTAGAAATCCACATCTCGGAACTCAGGAACCTTGAGTCAGGTTGAGCTACCCCCAGATATCCACCCTCTTCCGGACAGTGTAACACCTTATGCGAGTTATCCATCATTTTCGTTGATTTCTGTTGTTCTGACACGATGAAGATAGTTCGTATACCCATATACGTTGGAACCCCACATCTTAACTTTGGAATCATCACGTCGCTCCACGCAAGCCGCGCACGCCTCTCGACGCGAAGCGTACCTCCGTGCCCGAGAAGAAGAGAAAGAACGGCGGAAACGAGACAAGTTACGGAAGATTGCGCCTGGTTTTGAACCGACAGGCGCTGTGCTCGTTCCCGTTCATCTAGGCGGAAACAATGGTGATCAGGCTACGGGTAGTGCACAAGGTACAGAGAGCGGTTCGCTTGTACCCGAACGAGAGAGGGATGTTATGGATGATCTGGTGGACCAACTTGCTGCGTTGGAATCCAAGTCTTCTGGAGGGTCATAATATAATGCAAGTATGTGGGGGTGTGTATTTTATATTGTACCTTTATCTCACTGAGACCACTCGATGGAGAGAACATTGTGCAAAATTATATACAGTCCAACATGATCAGATACCCCCCTTCGACAGCTACATCGTGACTATCTCTTCGATTGTTATCTTAAACAATAATAATTTTATGGCGAGTATCTTGATCGTTTTACGTTGGCAGCAGGCAGCCAGCTGAGTGAATACGTGTCCAAGGTGTTGAGCGATGAGCGAGTGCAACTGTCTATGCTATATTCAGACATGCCTTTGCGACCGCATGGCCCATGTCGCGATAAGACCTAAACAATGATCATCGGCGTGCCTGAAATGGAAATACGAAGTCCAAATACAGCAAAGCATTGGCTTGGCATCGAGCTACTTGGGTTCTTGTTGAACGGGTGTTTCCATCCGTATCAACACTCACATTCGTTTCCTCCCCATCGTCAGACGCTGCGATGTTGGTCCTCAGTTCACTTCTCGCTCTCGCCATTCCTGCTGTACTCGCCCAAGATCCACATAATCTCACTACACTTACCGGGACATGGAGTTCTGGTGCCCGGGCAGTCATAACTGGGCCGGTGGGTATCATTATTGATTTGACCCAAGAAATGGTGTTTTTAATCTCTGCATGTGATTTTGCAGGGCTTCGCAGATCCCGCAAACATGTCATTCACGCCCCCACAGGTACTCCACAAATAATTCGTGGTTGGTGACGTTTTGGTGCTGATGTTTCTCGAGAATACGGGTGTTTCATATTCGTTGTGAGTCCTTATGCTTGCCCCGGTTGTTGACGTGAGGCGCTCATATTATGGCAATTTGATTAGCACAGACGATATGCACTACGAGATTGCACGGTATCGGTTCGTGTCAAACGGTCCGTCACTGCTCATTTTCCATCATCTATCTATCGCTGACAACATTGCACATTTCCTCAGGCACCAACCCGGCCTGCATCAGAGGTGTCCTCCAATGGACGCACGGCAATTATTCCCTCCTCGATAACGGTTCCATATTAATGGTTCCATTTCTCGATGGCTTCCAGCAGATTCAAGATCCTTGTGCCCCAGAATCCAATTTCATAGACCCCGGGTACAACTACACAGAATTGTATCAGTCGTGGCGGATCTTCCAGGATCCCGTGACTGGGTATAAGCTGCACTTGTTTGAGGCAGATGGAACACCCGTTGCCCCGCAATTTTTGGTAGCGACAAGTCCGAACATGTTACCGACGACAACATTGAGGAAACAGCCGGCGCCCCCGATGACCACTACTAATGGTTTTATATCCGGTGGCGGGAACAGCACGAAGAGAGGCTTAGATGCGATGCTCCATCAGAAGAGATGGACTTGGACTTGGGGCTTTTAAGTAATCAGAAATCTATATGGACTGGTATGTATACGATATTTTAATTTGTATCTTGCTCTGATTTTGGCGATATTTAGACAGACTTTAAGGTTCACTCGCGTTCTACCTATACAATTCACTCTTGTTTATATATCCATCTACTCGCAACGAACTAGACCGCCTATTAGCGCACACCATCATACTCGCATAGTCTTACCTACTTATCTTGCATTGAATCTACTACGTATTCCTGAAATATTACCATCTGTAAACTGTCTTGGCTCCGTCGGTATCTGGTTGCGTCAAACCGTCGGAATTCCATTGTCCTCGCAGCGCCACGTATTATTCTTCATACAGTTACATCTTTGTTTCGCGGGCGGCGATATTTGGCAGTCACCGACAGTCCTGTGCTTCTTGTTGGTTTGCGCCCTGCGCTCTTCAGTCCAAGCGTGGAAAATGCATACAACAGTTTATATGGACTCATTCAGGACATATTAGTACATGTACGCCTACCATTATCGAACTTCATGATTTCTGCTGCACCTCGGCTCTTACCTTCAGCCTCAGCCTCATCGGCTTCACCAAGGTGTACCTTCGGGAAAACACATCGGCCCGGCTACCTCTTTGCGCTTCTCTGGGCCAAGAAGCATGGAGATAAGTGTCAGGGCAAAGGGGAATGTTGTTCCTGGGCCACGACTATTCGAGGTCGATGCGATACGGGGAGAGATCAGCTCTGAGTGGGTGGCGGGAGATGCCATAGACAAACCTAGTGACTAGCTTGCCGGAGACCACGACAGCGTCTTCGGAGTACGCAAAGTCTTTATACGTTCAGGATTGCATAATTTAGTGTTAGTCTATAGGCGAAGGTAATTAAAAGGCGCGGAGAACAACGTACGCTTTTCCAGCTCCGATTTGACACTTGGGTGCGAGGTTAGTGGTTGGTGGGGCAGTTTTGAGGTGAGCGCTGTTAGACTTCCTGGTCGGTGCGGTATGTGATAATCTGGGTATATATATAGTGTGTATTTGGAAGGAAACTCGACGCACCAGCACATATCATACCGACGATCTTGTCTTCCTTAATGAACTCTCTGACGAGATCCTGCACTGCTTCAGATTTGGAGATGGTAGCTGCACCTTGGGCACCACCTGGGATAACAAGAATGTCATATTTTTCCTGCATACCAAGTTCACCTACATAATACAATATTTCTAACAGTGTGAAACTCACGCCGCTACTACATTTGGTTTGCGGAAAAGACGCGTCAGGGAGAATTCTGATGCCTCTGCTTCCCTTGCAAACAAGCATCTTGGGCGAGACATTTGAATCCCTTGCTGCAGGTAAGCTTGAAGTCACGTATGCGGATACGCAAGATATGCCTGCCCGGACGAGGGTGTCATAAGTTATTGTGCTAATGGCCATAATGGTGAGTAAATCTGACGCCGTAATAATGAGAACTGTATACAATTCCATTTCTTCCGTTCCATCCGCGATTAGAATCAAGGCAGACGGGCCGCTTGTCGATGGCAGAGTCATTGCAACCGTTGCGAGCAAGGTCAGATGAGCACCGCCACCATCTGACACTTCCAGACATGGCAATTATAAATGCCGTTGGATAATAGATTTAATTTAGAACACAGTTTTCAATCCCTGGTAGTATATCGGTTCAGTACACGCGCCTGTCACTTACTCTGGTGTTTACGTAACGCGCGAGAGCGGGGTTCGACTCCCCGCCAGGGAGCTTTTTAAATAATACGTTCAGTGCTTGAAATAATTTTGCACCCCGAAATCTGATTCACAACTTTTTTTTAATTTTTTTTAAAAGAAGTGTGTTTGAGACAATTTGATATAATTACTGCACCTCAGTGTTACCGCCTTTCGTAGACAAAGTACCGAAATCTGATTACAACTAAAACAAAAGAAGCTACTTTAATATTTGGGCCACTTGAATTCTGAAGACATAATCAATAGACTGATCAAATCAAATTCAACGGATGCTGCACACACCTCTAGTATGATCGCCCGAACATAGTCCATCTCTTCGCATCTCGACCACAGGCCGGGCATTTTGTCTTACCCGGCTCGATCGGCGTCCATCGGGATTGATCAAATGGAATGGCGAGTGATTTGGCACCAGCGGAAGGAGCACGTTCGTCTTGCGGCTCAGAGCTTGAACAAAGAGACATCAATACGAAGCCCAAATTACTGCAGAGACATACTCACGCTCGTCCGCTGCGTTCCTTTATGTCATCCTCGCACTCTTCAACTTCACACCACGGAATGACAACAACACATTTATTGTCAAGATTCGGGACAACATCCTCCCAACGGGTGACTTCGATCAATCTTGAGTGGTAGGCATCGCGAGCGCGCGTGAACATGTCATTCTGGATGGTCTCAAGGAGTTTGGATACCGAAGCGACGATGTCTGTTAACGACTCGGGAGCCTTGGCACCAGTGTCGCGTCGTACTGTCAGCGTTTGCTTCTTCGCCAGGTCAAGCGGACCAATTTCAAGACGAAGCGGAACTCCCTGTCGAAATTGAATTAGAAGATATTCAAAATAAGTATGTGTGTATCATTACCTTTTGCTCCCATTCATTGAATTTCCAGCCCGGGGTGTAGCCATCTCGCACATCAGCCTTAGCCCTGATGCTAGCTTGTTTCAGGGTTTTGGCGAGCTCATTGCAGGCATTATTGATAGTAGCTCTATCTTCGTCCGTCGTCTTGGCGGTGATACCGCATGGCACGACTATGACTTGAATACTGGCCACACGCGGAGGGAGGACCAATCCTTGATTGTCACCGTGCACCATTACCATAACACCAATGGTCCGTGTTGACAGACCCCAAGAGTTTTGCCACACATATGTTTTGCCTTGCCCAGTGGGGTCGTTCGGGTCCTCCACCACAATATTGAACATCTCTGGCCTGGAAAAGTTCTGTCCGAGACAATGAGACGTCCCGCCTTGAATACCTCGTCCAGATGTCGGAATAAATCCTTCAACGGTAGTGGTGTACAGTCCTCCAGCAAATTTCTCCTTCTCGGACTTAATTCCTGGAATTACGGGAACGGCGAGGAGTTCTTCATATACGCGTCGGTATAGTTCGAGAATTTCTCGCACTTCGATGTCAGCTTCATTTTTTGTGAGATGGGCTGTGTGGCCTTCCTGCCACAAGAATTCACGAGTACGGAGGAACGGCTCTGAAATCGCACACTTTAGTTTCCGGAGTGTATATATAAGCCTTGAAAATCGGCACTCACGCGGGTTTTTGAATTCCCATCGGACGACGTTGTTCCATTGGTTCAGTTTCAACGGCAAATCTCGATGACTCTTGATCCATTTTGCATAGTCTGGTTAATACACAAAATTCGTCAGTATTCTGAAGAGGATCAGATCGACTCCCTTACAGGGATACATGGCAGTCTCAGAGGTCGGACGGATTGCAATCGGCTCTTCCAGATCCGAATTACCACTGGATATTGAGAACATGTGAATAGGATACAAGGATACCATTCCAAACCGACTTACGCTTTCGTGACCCACGCAACTTCCGGAGAGAAACCTTCGATGTGGTCCTTTTCGCGCTCCAACACCTTTGCCGACACAAACATCGGGAAGTATGAATTTTGGACGTCCATTTCCTTGATTTTTTTGTTGAACCAATCTGGCCTGAGCGTGAGATGAGAGCACAAACTGAGATGCGGATAGACACTGACCTTGAATCTCTTCCCAGATGCTATACGACCACGGCTTGAGGATATAACAGCCACTGACGCTATAATAATCTAACATATCGGCTTTGATAAGGACCTAATATCAGAATAATCAGTATTGACTCGAGATGACGACCAGTCAGTATTAACGAACGTTGGTATACCAAGCAGCAAAGTCGACCTCTTTCTTGACGCCCACTGCGACTTGAACTGCGCCCTCAATTTTTGCTGATTCCTTTTCCTTCGATTGCTTGGACGATTGTGCAGGGGCCCCACCATCCGTCTTCAAGGTTTCAAAATCGACTTCTTGTACTTTGACATCATCGTTTTCGAGGCTTGCCAAGTACGAAACAATGTCCTTCCCACTGAGGAAGACTGTTTCGCTCGAAGAGAGTGCGTGGACAGCGAAGATAGACGATGAGGACGCGATTGATGCATCGATCACGGTCAGCACTTTCGGGAAAGTCGCCTTATTCAATGCGAGCGGGGATACTTTTGATCGTCATCAATCAAAAGACGAAAATCAACGTCGATGAAGACACGTACATGAATTTTTGTCAAGTGAAAAGAACTCTTTTAGCAGATCCTCCGAGGCAAGCCTAAGCTCCTTCAAATTCAACTTTTTGCCCAATGCTCCTGAACTAGTCTCCGTTTCATCTCGAGCGATCACTACCACAGGAACAACAGTAGCGGTTTTAGCAGTTTTGGGTTTGAACACGAGTGTCTTGATCAGTTCAAAAGATTTTTGGGCCGAAGCCGTTGAGTTCAAAGCTTCGCGCCAAGTCGCAGGGGAAGTAGTTTCGCAGTGGGATACATTCCCAGACGATTTTATAGACAGCCCAGACAGAGACTGAGTAATGTATTCCAGGGCGGACATGGTGGTTGTGGTAAATGCTCGATGATAAGATGGAAAACGCTTTTTGTAGCAGGTAAAATTGGGAAATGACTCGACGCGCCCAGGCGTTATCGGATTGAATCTGACTCTTTGATACAATCTTCGTATATACACAGCCTGACGGACTGCGCGCATACGATCTAGCAAGTGCGAGTCAGAATTTCTAATGCAAGCAGCAAGCAAGGGAGTTTGTTCCGGACGATCGACGCGAAGTTGATTATTTATATGTGTTACACTGTCCACTCTGGAGTAGTGATTGTCTTGTAATTATACAGCGATATGGATAAATTACACGGTCTAATCTATAGATTGATTACGTCCGCACACCTCCCACAAATACTATCATTTTCTGGTCGTGTGAAGGTCCAGCATCGTGGACACTTGCTCAATGTCGCGGGGCGAACGCGAATTCCCAAGTTGGATTCGCAACCTGGATAAGAACGATCAACGACAACGTCTAATGGAAGACGTTTGGTAGAAATTTACCAGGTATCGACATGGAGTCAGAATATAACCACTCTGGAGATGACGTGCCTAAGGAGCCTTCATCCGTCACAGAAACATCGGAGACAATGAACAGAGTCTTCAAAAAATGCTCTGGTGAGAAAGAAGACATATAAACCAGATGACATCTTTTCATATGTGAGAAACTCGACAAACCTTCCCGCTGGAGCAACTCCAAGACATAGGAAGTTCCATCATCACTGCTTGGCAGAATAAGATCAACCTCGGCTTCTAGAGAAGACTTGAGCTGCCTATTGCCAAGAGTCTTGATTAGCAAAAAGATGAGTAATCCAATGAAAATACTTGCTTGTTTCTACGCGCCTTCTCGATCAAACCAAGCACAGCACTCCGCACATGCAACAAATGGTTCATATCCTTCTCTGCTTCGTGATCTTCCCACTCGGAGCTCTATCGTAATCTGTCAGTCGGCTATCAAGGTAGGCATCATACAATAAAACATTGACCAGAGGTATCCACGTTCGCATGAAGACGGAAGACCCTGCAGCCATGTCCTCTCCGACTCCATGGGAAGCGTGGTGTATTTCCTCCGCGAGATAAGGCAAGACTGGCGCCATAACCGACGTCAAAGTGGCCAAGATCTGGTGCACGTCGAGTCAACGAATAGATGGAGTGTCCAACGAGATTGTGCATACCTGTTCGAGGACTGTCACTACTGCCCTGCGCTCTCGACTTTTGACACCATCTGCATATAAGCAATCCTTGGTAATATCAAAGTATAGGGACGACAGCGTGATGGTGGCAAAGTTGTTAAGAGCATTTATTGCTGGGAACGAGTTAGCGTCATAAGTCAGGCTATGTGACATTTAATGTGATCACCTTTGGAGAAGTTATATGACGCGTACCCCTCGTGCGCGACGTTCTCCAGTTTGTAAAGCTCGTGCATTACATACCGCTCAGCCTGAAACGTAGCCGAAAATAAATATCCAGGACTCAGTGTTAGAAAACCAAACTCACGAGGGCCATCTCCCCGCTCCCAATCCTCTCAAGTCCTCTTCGACTCTCCTCATTCCCGATATTTCCCAGGATGAACCTTGCGGAATTCCGAATTTTCCTCAAGGATTCTGCAGCCTGAGCCAAGATAGTCGAACCAATTGGCATATCGCGCCAGTAGTCGACAGTCGCTGCCCATAGTCGGAGAACATCTGTTCCGAACGCGGGCTCTTTTGTTTGGTCCTTTCAAAAGATATCTGATCAGCCAGATGGCATAGTGAACGAGTCAACCGAAACTACCTTCCCACCGTTAATAATGCCCATGGGACTAACCACGTTTCCGACACTCTTGCTCATCTTCTTCCCTTTTTCATCCAATACCATTCCATGTGTGATCAAAGTCCCATACGGACTCGCAGCTCTGGCTAGTGAGCTTGTCTCGCCGCCCTCAGCACTTCCAATAGCTGTCAATAGCTGACTCTGGAACCATCCGCGATGTTGATCCGATCCCTCCAAACAAACATCCGCCAAAAACTTCCTCCCATCCGTTTTGGAAACCGCCATTCCTTCTAGCATCGACCACGAAGTTCCGCTATCAAACCATACGTCCATGGTGTCCGCCCCTTTTTTCCATTCGGCCGCTCCAGTCTCGCCCAATAATTTTTTGGGCACAAA